GAGACACTAAAATGTAGTCATGAGTCCCGCAGGACTTGGACATGAGAATGACTGCGCTGGAGAGGGCCAGCAGCAATTGTAAACGACAGACACATCCTCTCTCGAGAGAATATTACATAAACAATATAACCACAAGAGTTCAGTTGGAAAATAAAAATTTGCTGGTCTTGAGTCTCAGGGGGGTTGTCACCAAGGCGAACTGGTTCGCGGTAAACCGCCAGTCGTAAGGTAATACTGACTCTAACTCTATTTAATCACTGCATTCGATAGTTGCATTTTCCAAAGCCTTGGAAGGGAATAAAAATCATAACCATACTGAAACCCGGTAAGAACCGGAAATTTACTCAGAATTTGAATTCCATAAGCCAAACTTTTCGAAAAAAGTAACTCAAAGAGTGGTCAAAAGTCACGATGAGATGAGAGACCCGCTTAATTCGAGTCAGTATGGTTTCAGCACAGAGCATAACACAGCACTGCAATGTATGTGTTTTACGTACCACATGACCTTAAATTTTCGTTGTAATTGCTATATCGAAACGGCTGTCCATATGAATCTCCGTATCTGTACTAGAGCGCGCTCTGATGCTTTGCATTTAAACTTATGCTAATTTATATTATAAATGTTACACGAGTGTTTTCAAGTAGCAAGTCGACGATAATTAAAATGTCCTCAGTTGTTGGGGTGTTGTTTTTGTTGTTGTTACTGCTGCTGTTGTTGCTCGTAAGTTATTATTATTATTATTATTATTATTATGTTTGTTTCCCCCTCTGCATTTCTCTGTTTTTCTTCCAGTGCTTACCTTTAATTATTCTTGAACTTTGTGTTCTATTTGTCCAGTATGTAATTACTTTATCTGCATTGCGTTGTGTATGTAATTGGCCTTGTGGCTGTTGGCTCGGCAAGTAAATATTAAAGAATTGCATTGAGTGGAATGAAATTGAATTACTTTCACTCCTTAACTGCAGATTAACTCCGCAATACCGTGAACGTATTTTGATATTTTTTAATATTAGTATATAGTTTTAATTGNGTCCAAGGGTCAATGCCCTACCCTCCTCTTCGTCAATGACGTGGCCGGAAATGAGTCATAAAAGTAATCCGGGTTCTTTATTGCCACACCTTGTATGTACTGCTCATCAGAATATCTTGCGTTATGTATTGTTTTGTCTTTCTTTGGTATTTGTTTATGCTCACTCCGTATTTGGTCACTGTAATTGTTGAGGCAGAGCATTACAGAAAAAAACTGAATCGATTTATTGTTTTCTTGTTATCTCTCGTGAACTCGTAGTTTCGCTGGCTAGTCTCATTTAATAATTGCACATTTTCGAAATAACTTAGCATTTTATGAAGTGTTATTCTTGAAGGCTGAAAATTTGGAAGCAGTGTGAATAGTTCTAAACAATGTTGCCCCTCGGATGTTGTCGGAAATGCCTTCTTTCAGGTTTATAAGCTTATTATTACTAGAAAATTTGTGATTTTCCCAGTTTTATTGCGAATAATATTCCAAAACTTGGTCCTTCATGAAAGTGTGTAACCGTTTCAAACCACATATTTTCTCACTCCTCTCGTTGTTTATATTCACGTGTTAACATATTGCTAGTTTCGTTTCAGTTCTTACTGCAAGTTAGTTTTTGATTTGTAATTATTAATTTTGCTGGCCTATTCTATGCTCGTTGCTTTTCACAAGACTTAGAAAAAGTATTATTATTATTATTATTATTAGCAACATTCGTAATATTTCATAAATGTATGTATATATTTCAGTCTTCTTTAGATTTATGTTCACAGATTTATTTGTCATATTTGTATTTTGTTTTAATTGTTTTCTGTACCTTATATACTCGTGCTAACTTTGTAATTGGCCACTATGCTGTTAAGTTATTGCACGTAAATAAACATGAATTGAATTATTCGAGTTGAACGACTGTGAACGATAGTTTTCTCTCTTTGCTTGTGCATGTATTATTGCAGTCACGTTGCCCCAACCGTGCGGGTATTCCCCTGCTGGCAGGAGGTAGATACTATCGACGCTATTAATTAGAACTGTTCTTTGCTTGAGGGTGTATCATAACGTGGTTGTTCCATCCTTATGCCTTATTACATTCGCGAGATGCTAGTCTGAGATAGTGCCACAAGTTCCTTGTGCAGATCATGACTGCCAACATGACTACGAACATGACGCGATGACACAGATATGCTTACCAAAATGTATGCTGAAACATATAGACATGGACGCTGTCTATGCATTTCAGCAGAGGAGCTAATGTTCTTTTTCTTTCTTAGTGGGGTGGAGTTAGTCCTCTTGGTACTGCGGCCACTTCTGGCCTATTGTACCAGCCCCAGATGATAGGTGAGGGTGATTGTGGAGCAATTTGTGGAATGAAGATTGGCAGGGGAAACCGAAGTACTCGGAGAAAACCTACCCCAGCGCCACTTTGTCCACCACGAATCTCACATTACCAGACCTAGGCTCGAACCCGGGCCGCTGCGGTGGGATGCCAGCGAATAACCGCTTGAGTTATGGCGCGACCATAGCTAATGTTCTTCCTCACGGTGATTTTGAAGCCCTGCATGTATGTGTTACGGATATATTGTCTCAGCAGCAGTGGGCCTCCATTTGTTTCTTCCGTACGCAGAGGTTTTGGACCTCGTAAGAGAGATGTACGTTGAGAGTCACTCGAAACTTGTGAAAATCGCACATTTTCTATTCACTTCTAATTCACTGCATTTAAATTATTTTTATCTCTCTCAGTGCTTCATGTGACCAGCTGGATCCTGCAGTGTGTAAAGTCACTTATAGAAAATCTACCGAAAGCGCTCAGTTTTCGCATGGGAATTTTTTAAATTTATCTATACCGGTGTAATAAAATTGTTTATTTTTTATTGATAATCTGATAAATGTGTATTACTATTGGCCACTTTATATATTGTCACGCATTCTTGGTTTGCGTGACTAATAAGACGGGTTCTGGATTGGATGATTTGATTTATTGACACTTTGCTTTAAATCACTCGTAATCACAATCCATCACCGTAAATCACAATCTTCAGTCGAACCCTTCTTCCTTGACTGCCGAGGACTCACTCCAGTCTCATTCTCCTTCTACGACTAACTTCTGGTTTACGACTGGATTACCTATATAGTCTCGAGATGGATCCATTGGAAAAAAATCTGTTGCCCAGCAATGGATATATGCAAACCACACAGAAAATATCTCTCCCTCTATTGTTGTATTGGGTGGAATATTTTTACCTAATAACGGCTGTTTACCAAGAATGATTTTCCGCAGGAAGATGTTTATCGAGCCGTTGCCTAGCACTGGGTCTATACATCACCATATCTTACCACATTGGGATCATATAGTGACTGATGCACTAACTGTTGCCAAACATCTGAACAAATGGGACTGCAAATCGCGTATAATTATGCATAACGGGTGCCAAGGGATGAAGCATCAGTGGGCATAAATCGATCTTTTTGCTATTGTACTCGTACATACGAGTATATAGGGTATGGTCCCATAGCAACCAGACGGAAACCGATCAATGGCGACCACGAAACTGCAGTATTTGCTATGTATATAATTTGTTCGTTGGTGAATTTGGTGAATTGGGATAGCGTAGTCGGTATAACGACTCTCTATGGGCTGGACGGCGGAGGGGTCGGAGTTCGAGTCCTGGTATGGTCAAGAATTTTATCTTCTGCAAATCGTTCAGACAGGGTCTGGGACCCATCCAGCTTCCTATCCAAAGGGTACCTGGGAGCTCTTCTCCGGGGTTAAAGCGGCAGGGACGTGAAGCCGACCATTCACCTACAACCACTATAAAAGTCAATAAAATGTGGATCTATACATCCACTTCCCCATACGCCTTCATCGTGTCGTGCTTAATTAGTTAAGGACATGGACACCTTTACCTTATACTCTGTTAGTTGAAGAACAAAATTGTAAATATTTCTTCGACGAAGAACTCTTCAGTCACAGTACGATGTTATGTTGCTGTTCCCAAACAAAATTCCTAACATAGACCAGTAGCAGTGATGCATCTGTCGAATTAATTACATTTTATGAGTATAGAAGATCTATAATCTCCAGTTCACTTGCGTTCACATAAGAGAACTCGAATATGGTGGCCAACCCATTTAAGACCCTCGAATATTTCACTGGCAGACCGGAAGGGCGAGAGGTAGGGAACATTTGAAACATTGCACCCTTCCCTTCCCTAATAGCACCTCTAACGGGATTAGATTAATTCAGCGTCTCCACGCTCGCAATGTTTCCACGCCTATCCTTCAAGCCTGTAGTTCCGAATTCTATTTGTAGCCGCCTCTGCTCAGTTACAAGAGAATAAAGTGAGCAGGTTGGACGAATGATAAGGTAAGCCGCACACCGGCATACATCAAGACATGTAACATTCAAGACACGATGTCTGCGACATGACGCAAAGAAAGGAGTACAGTTGAAACGATCGAGATTCTGAAAACCGCCGCACGCCGGTCTGAGTCATGATGCTGACGTCAGATTCATGCTGCAGACACGTGCAACAAAACTCGGCATGTTCCTTTTCTGTGCGTCAAGACTCAGACATCAGTACTCATGTAACACCACCAGTGTACGTTATCGGCATGACGTCATGTCATCAACTAGAGAAGATGTGATAAGACGCAGACACGTGCTATTTTGGTGTGCGAACTCGAGTCTGAATCATGAATGAAGCAAGACTGTGTCTTTTGTCTCATGTCTTGAAGTTTGTGTGCGGCCGCCCTAAGGCTACTGAAATTCAATGATTGTACTGAAGATCTCCTTAGTTGTACTCAGCCCCTCTAGGGTAATTCAGAGTATTACGCCCACGTTCATTTCTCTATCCTGTGTAATTCGCTGTACATAACTTAAATAACAGTTTAAATAATTCAAAGTCTTCAAAAAAATGCGTACATTAAGGTAAACGACGACCGTTTTTACTTCCCAAGATCTCCCACTGTAGCTGTTCCTTATTGCAGGTTGTGTAACAAGTACACTAGATGCAGCGCCGTTAAACCAACATCAAGACAGAAACAACAGGAACTCTGATGTCGAAGAGCTCTCTGTAACTCTGAGAGGAATTTACAATAGAGCTATATCCATCAATGTTTGCCCAAGAAATGCACCAGGAAGTGGGACGTAGACCAGTGCTACCACCAAGACAAGAGTAGCGGGTTGTTTGTGGGGCCCGAAATGCAAACACGGTAATGATTCCTGCACCAGCAGTAACGTCCGAATTAACTCCAGTACCGTCAGCTGGACTTTTGAAAGTACCACGGTCTTGGAATCTCATGAACAGAGACGTAATGACAACAAGCATCCATATGTGTAACTTCTGTGGGCTGTAGGTAAGGCTCATCATGTAACCGTACATCAGTGTTGCGTAACCGGTGTGATGCTATTAATTATACATTAGCACGTTATTTATAAATATGCGATATTTTTAATTAAATATAAAACTTTTATGGTTTGTTCCGATAAAGCCTTTTATATTTCTCTAAGAATTTCATACTTATCAAATTTAATCTCAGGAGGAAATTCCCCCTTGAGATCGACGAGTCTGGTAATGTTAGTGTTCACGCCCTACGTACGATCACGTGTATCGGGTTACGCGTGACGAAAATAACTGGTTCTATGTATATCGGATGGTTGGATTTATTGGCACTTCAATTACGATCTCTCCTAATTACAATTAATACATCTCTATAGCTTAGCTGTATTTACACAATTTACAGTCCACCGTTGCACACGAACTAGGATTCTTCGTCTTCATTAGTCGTCTCCTGGCAACGGATCTCAACACAGAAACTATAAAAGTCTCACTGAATTACATATTAACGATATCGATATACTACAGCACATGTGACGTCACACTGTCTTCTAATTCTTCTTCTGGCCACATTGCTGTTCCCTTGGAACTTCGGAACTCAAGTGAAGTCCATCTATTACTCACTCCTCCAGGTTGCGACTGCCCGCAAACAACCTTTGCTGTCCCCCACAAACCTTCACCGTGGAACTACAGAAAGCACTTCACATGGTCTCTATCCACTGTTGTGTGACGTCACTGCCTACGCGGAAGTGTGTTTACCGAGCCGTTGCCTAGAAACCTGTTGCATAACCCCGCTGTTCTACTGTTGCGTGCAATGGAGGGTGTTTATCGAGCCGTTGCCTGGCAGTGGGTTGACATGTCAACAATATATATAAATGTACTGTGTAGGACTTGAGGTTCTCACAGAGGTGGTTCTGAAGCATATTATCTTCTAAGATACAACGCCGTGTAGTCTGTTGAAACATTGATCTCATCGGGAATCGAATCCGCGGCCTTCCGGCTTGTAGCATAATGCCTCAACAAAATGCACTACCGCGTGCCCCCAAATGAACGGATAAAAGCATACAGAACTATATAGAGTATAATTCAGGGTGCAAGGATGCCTGAGAACAGAAAATGAGGAGAACAGTTGGACCCAAGAGAAAAGTTGTAACAGGAAGCTCCAGGAAAATTGGATGGATACCTTTCATAATTTACAGCTTTTACATAATATTTTCTTGATTAAATCAAGCCTTAAACAAAGGAACCACTTAAGAGACTTAGATGAAGTGATATTATTAGAATAGATCTAAATGAAATAGGATGATCACCGCCTTCATCTGTCCCGACACAATAATCAAGCGGTGTGAAAATGTTGACTAGGGGTTTCAGTAAACTGACCTTTCTTAACTGGCCGACGGACCAACAGTTCTCATGAAAACATCTCTTCCATGGGGTCAGTTATTCCTTCTTAACTCTCTACGCTAAATCATTCATAATGGACTTTGTGAGCCGTGTTCCTTAACGTAAGAAACATATTATGATATTTTGAAATAATTTTTATATTTTCACAGGATTATTCCCGCATTACAAAGCATGCTTCAGTGCACGTAGTTCATGCAACTTCTTTGACAATTGATCCTACACTAGTCTAAGATCTGAGGAGAACATGTGATCAGCTTATAGACTGAAGACGTAGAAGCAGTGCAGTAGTTCTGTGCGATACCAGTTCTTTTCTTTTGGTGTGCATAACAAAATCCGTTCCCTGTTCATGAATATTGATGTGAAATTCCTGGCTTAAGAATGGAACGGGGTTGTGCGCCTCAACAGAATAGAGCGGAGAACATAGAAAGCGACTGGCGGATCTCTAGAGGTCTCATGAAGAGCTGATGTCACGGGAGATTTGGAACAAGGGAATAATGACGCAACTTTCTAAGACAAGGACAGACGAGTACTGGGTGTAACAAACAACAAGGAGATGTGAGGTTTCACTCAATTGTTTTGTTAATAGCGCTTTCATCGTCAAGAATATATAGTGTCAGATGACTGGTGAATGATAAATTTTACAGGGTTTTGCAGTAAACGTTTGTGGTCAAATCAATGTATTATTTGCCTGAAGGGACTGAGGAAAAACACAAAATATATCTGGAGCTTTACCTATAAACCATTGTGTTCGGGATGCTCAAGGCTGTCAATTTTCAGATTACGTTCTCCTGGGGTGTGACACCGTGTAATTTGGTAGGTAGCTTAGGAGAAGCTTTTTTCCTCCACCTGCCGTCAAAATGGATGCTGCTCAATTTGACACATTGAATCTCCTTAAACTCTGATAGGACTACTTAAACTGCGGGCCGACAGAATGCAAGGCCTTTACCTACACAGGACATTGTAACGCAGAGATATGATCTGAATTTTAGAAAAAAAAATCAAATTAATCCGAATTCTATATTTTGTTTCCCTTGCAAAGAACATGTATTCTTTTATTAGGATAAGGCTCTGTTGTTCGACTCCCGCAAAACAAAAGGTGAGATTCTGTAACCAATCACACTATAATGTTGAAGTACAGGGTGATTCATATAGAACCGGCCCGACGAAATGAGCTGTAATATAAAATACACCATACAGATATTAAAGTAATTTACACATATCTTATCTTGGATTGTGTGCCGTGATCAGAGCAGGTGTTGAAAGTGTCCGCCGTTTTCAAGAAGGCACTAGAAACACTCGCTGTTCAACAGTGTACTCCATGACTGCGCCTGCGCACTGCAGACGCGTTTCGGCATTGTCCTTGACCTTGCAACATAAGGGCTGCCACTTGCCGGATCATGCGCACACCATTCGACTCAGCACGGCCCACGGATTATTATGTCGTAATTGTGAGCGGTTATATGCATCACCTGCGGAATTATTAGCAAATTCATCGGGCCGGTTCTATACGATTCACTCGGTACTTAGAATGTGGTCATTAATGAGCTGTTAGACTGGCTGCTGCTTCAGCAACTTAATTCAGACACAGACTTACTGGGGTTTTGGACTTGTTCTATCCTCCGGAATTTTAGGTAATAGGGGACACGACGTTTCGGAAACTGGATCTGTTTCCGCCTTCAGGTGAGAAAGGAAGACACCTACTTAGTTGGGCCCCTTAGAGAGAGCTAATCTCAATCACTGGTGTCTTCCTTTCTCACCTGAAGACGGAACCAGATCCAGTTTCCGAAACGTCGTGTCCTCTATTACCTAAAATTCCGGAGGATGGAACAAGTCCAAAAACCCAGTAATTCTGTGTGTCATCCACTCTCGTCAGAACCGTTTAGAATCAACTAATTTCAGGAGGGATATTAGAGATTTTTTCTGTCGATAACTATTAAAATCGGTGACCATCTCTTCTAAGGTTTTCGTTACTTTGTACAGTGTTCGAATTCCATGAAAAGCGAGGAATTTCTTGATTACCCGAGCGAGCGACTGTCAGCTTAGTATCCACCTTGACCAGACAAACAAGTTTCAGGTGCTCAAGCGAAAAGCTACATAATATAGAAAGTCTGTCTTAATATTATTCAAATAGCAAGCGACATCACCTTTACAATATCAATACTCACAATTGCTGATGTTTTAGAACAGAAACATGTCAACTGAATGCCTGCATGACAGTAGTACGCCACAGGGTTCCCTGAATTGTCATCAGTGGCTCATACTGAGATTTTTGCTGGACCCATCACGTCATTTGCGAAAGGCAATTTCCTTATATCTGTTCATTCCATAAGCATTGATCGTTTACCTGTCAAATTGGAAACACGTTCTGTGTCGTCATCATTATTTTGGCAAAACAGCCCTTTTTTAAACCGAGCCGTCCTTAGAAGATTCTGCCAGATTTGCCATCTGGGTTTCACTGCTTTGGCTTAGGTAACAATATTTTTACAGAGAAAGGTTGTTAGCCTTGCATCCAACCCCCAACCTGGAGGATAAGGTCTCTGTATCTATGTTTCCCAATGACAGGAAGGCCCAGTTATACCCTCAGGCACCGGGTTCTATTTTCGTCGCCTTCTACGGCTCACAAGGATACGGTGAGGTGTTTAAACACGCCTCCACACGGGACATGTTTTGCACGCCGCCAGAAATAATCCATTATCCGTGATCAAGTGCGTTGATTATATATTCACACTGTGGTTTTTATTGGTCGTAAACTGAAGGTGCAAATTACTACTGAAAATGAAGTAATTCCGTTCCCTTCTCTGCTGCTGATGTCGTGTGGGTTTTAGAAAAGGTCGCGGAAATGAGATTGAACTTATGAGATATTTTTATAGGCAATCTGGAAATTTTTTAATTTTATTTTCATTTAACTTTAAAACGAACTGAGGTCATAGTTTTATTTATAAATATAATTTTCTCTTAGAATTCAATCTTTATATTATGGCAAATTGCAAGAAAATAACTATTAAATAACCAAATTCTACCTGTTTCTATAACACTAATTGTTATCCTTTCAATATTTCATTCATTCGCAACGCGGTAACGTAGTTCGTTGAGACACTATGCTGCAAGCCTGAAGGTTGCAGTTTCGATTCCCGATTAGATCACTGGATTTTTCATTGACCTAATCCTTCCAGCTCCAACGTCGCTCTGGATTCGACTCAAACTCTGACAGAGACGAGTACCAGGAATCTTCCTGGGAGTTAAAGGGCGTCCGGCGAGTGAGGCTGACAACCTCATCGCCGTCTGTGATCTGATTTTTTGCAGAAAATGTGGGAACATCGACGTCTCACGGACCTATGGGCTTCCATGGCCTGCTACAAGGATAGGTTTATCTATTTTTCTGGCCTTTTGCCAGTAATATCAAAATCCAGGTACCCGTGATATTTATTTAAAAATTATTACGAACTTTACAGAGACGGCTGTGTATACAATTAAGCATACAACGTAAGTGTAATTACATTATGGCCATATTTAATATACAGGTTGTTTCAAAATGATGAGCCAGATTTTAAAATTCTATATATCTGCAACCTCAAAACGTCCATGAATGAAACTCTTACCATTTGAAAGGGTGGGGGATAGAGTTTGCAAAGATTACCGCCAGGTGTCTCTTCCAGCGTATTTCCTAAATGCACCACTGCCTCAATATTCGA